ATTAAGTTTATATAAGTGTTTCGGCGTTTTTGTGTCATTTCAAAACTTGGGATTTTCGCAACATTGAAATCTCCCTCCACTTTAATGCACTTCTTACATACATATGTATATTACACCGTTTGACAGTTAATTTTACACACAAAAATATGAAGACATTCGCGAAACCGTGGGCCAAATATATGTAGTAAAATTGTGTTTTCAGTTTTTCTCTCTGACGCGTCATGACGTAAGAATTTTTAAAAGGACTTGGAAATTTAAAAAATATGAGTAATTCAAAAAATTATTTAAAAAATTCAGTGCAATGTAGAAAACCCTTATGGCGATTAAATTAAAGAGAAAATTCTGTAGCATTAAATAAAATTTTTTGGTGCATAGGAAGTCTAGGTATTGAAAATGTCTTTTTAAAATTTTATCCTTGAAATTTTGCAAAATGTATCTTTGAGAAAACTAATATTGAACGGATTTAAAAGCACGTTTTAACGCAGATATATCGCTGATGATAAGCACCTCGTAAATTCCATAACGATGAAACAACCAACTCTGCAAAAGACTCCATCAAATTCAGAACTGTCGCAAACTTACAATTTTACCCTTATGTTTTTTATTTTTCTTGTTTTGGTCATTTTATTCTTTGTCATTGACAGCTGTTCGTCTTGTGTCAAGTGCCTTTCACTTGACGTTTTTTACTTGCGCAAGGTTGCCGCTCTTGCAGCTAGTGAGTGGAGAATTCGGAGCTAGTAGGAATGAGTCGGAGAGAGTAATGGGAGACGGTCGTTTCAAGGTTTTTAGTGTGCACAGACTTTTGAATATTNACTTGACGTTTGTTTGCTTGCGCAAGGTTGCCGCTTTTGCAGCTAGTGAGTGGAGAATTCGGAGTTATTAGGAATGAGTCGGAGAGAGTAATGGGAGAAGGTCGTTTCAAGGTTTTTAGTGTGCACTGACTTTTGAATATATCATCTATTAAAACACATGTAATAATTATACAAAAAATTACCAGTAAATAAATACAACTAAATAAGCACGATAAAGATCAATGTAATAAAATTTAACCTCACCAAAAGAACTGCATATCCACGAATGTGTTTAATGAAAAGAAACATTTTTTGGTGGCCCATGAGGGGAATCAGTGACTACACAAAGGACATTTGAAATCTTGCTACATACAACGCGAGGGAAGAAAACTGCAGCAAATTTTACACACTAACATCATTTGGTAATCAGAACAACCATTCCATTGGTAAACGCTTCTGCAATCTTTCGGCGAAAGACAACCTGTATTCACACACTTTCTGTGATAGCAAACGGCTCTTCTCAAATAACTGTGTACCTACATCGTCACACAGCAAATCGCCTCACCGCTTGCATATATCGTAACCTAACCGCTACTTACTTATCTACATCANCACACTAATATCATTTGGTAATCAAAACAACCATTCCATTGCAAACGGCTCTTCTCAAATAACTGTGTACCTACATCGTCACACAGCAAATCGCCTCACCGCCTGCATATATCGTAACCGCACCCCTACTTACTTATATACATCAACAGACATGGATGCTTCTAGAATAGAAGAATCGTTTAATCTAGAAAGCCTCATCGCGCTTCAAAGGGAAAGTTCAAAAATTGTTAAAGAATATCTTCCTAGGTTTAAGAAATATGCTAAGGACAGACGGACGGCAAGATGGCAAAGGAAAACTCTACTGAAATGAGGCATTTACAAACTATGTTAAAGGGCTGCGCAACAGAATTTCTTCGCCTCAATGTTACTCATATCAACGATCTACTCACTCATTTTGCGGTAAAGAAGTGTGCTCCGGAGACGCTGCAAGCTTGGGAGCACTATTTAGCATCTAAAACAACGGTACCCTCGTACTCAGATTTCGATAAGTTTTTTAGCAACCGCTTGATCAGTTTAACCAACATCGAGAGAAGCAGACAAATAGTACAACAAACTTGTCCCCAAGAAATCGTGAAGACGAAATATTCCACGGACCACAAACCCAAATCGTCACAGTCAAAGCCTCATTTGCAACGCAAGTCCTACGATGTTTCCACATCCACGTCATCAACTACAGAAAAGTGTTTCATACCAGAATGCAAAGGACCACATCACATTAGATCCTGCCCGGACTTTCTAGCATTTGTTTTGCTAAGAAAACAGTCGCCGATCAACTTCGTCTGTGCATAAACTGTCTGGGTAACACTCACTTCGTATCCAAGTGTCCAAGTAAAGCAAACTGCAAAACCTGTGGTAAACGCCATCACACTTTACTATACTTCACCTTCAGCGGTAGTTCAACAGCGGCTAGACAAGTAGAGCCTGTGTCAACATAGTCAGCGCAAGCATTATCTACATTCGAAACATCACAAGTTCCAACATACACTGCTAGCTTCTTACCAGAGAGAACAACGCAGCAGCCAGCAAAGTTACTCTTAGCAACAGCAATAATCCCAGTCGTTAACGTAAACACTGGTCGAAAAATGATTCTAAGGGCCCTTATAGACCAATGCTCTGAGGGGACACTCATCACAAGCCGCGCAGTGCGTGCATTAGGCTTACGTCGCACTCCAGTTGTCACGGACGTCAGCGGCGTAGGAGCAAGCTCTGGTACAAGCACCGAGTGTGTTAGTTTTCAACTACGTTCAAATCTCAATCAGCACTTTGAGACATTCGTACCATTAGCCTTTGTAATGGACACAGTCACATCGGACTTACCCAGCAATCGGATAGAACCACAGGCGTGGCCGCATATGGACGGTCTCGTATTGGCAGACCCCACCTACTTCAATTCCAACAAAATTGACTTGTTGATTGGTACAGAAATGCATGCGTATATTCTGTTACCAGACATCCGCATCGGCCGGCGTGATCATCCTATAGCGCAGAACTCACATTTTGGGTGGATTTTGTATGGTCAAGTGGCTCCCGCAGCTCCAACTATCGACCCGTCAGCCACCATTCATTGTCATCACACCGCAATCAGTCCACACTTGGAATCACTAGTTCAACGTTTCTTCGAGACGGAGGAAATACAAGAAGAGCGCGCTAGATCAGAGGAGGAACAATGGTTCATCGACTTTTTCAATCAACATTGTATATGGTACGGCTGCCGCTCAAAACTCACTTCGACCCAAACCAGACGTTGGGCCGATCTAAACAAATGGCCACCCATCGATTCCTGCAACTTGAAAAACGTTTACTGCGTTCAGAAGAACTGATGGAACGTTATTCAGCTGGCATTCAAGAATATTTCGACTTGAATCAAATAGTTTCATCCACATCAACAGAAGAAGAACGTTTCACTGCCACGAGCACAAACCAATCAGCAGTTACTGCGTGTGTATTGCCACATCATGCGGTTATACGTGAGGACAAGCTAACTACGAAACTTCGTATTGTATTCGACGCCTCAGCGAAAACGTCAAATGGGAAATCACTAAATGATATTCTATGCATAGGGCCGGCGCTTCAGAATGAACTCCCAGCAGTTATTTTGGCCCAACTTGGCTAAGTCAAAACAGCTTCAACAGGCCGAAACTCAACAAGAATACGCATACATTTACCGACGATGAACTCGAAGCGAAATCAAATAATGTTGTTGTAAACGTCGTTATCAAAAGCGATTCAATCATTTACCTCTATTCATCATTAACCAAATTGATTCGCATCAACGCCTGGATTCAGCGCTACCGCTACAACGCTCGCAAGGAAAACAAATCGCAACGCCGAAAAGGCCCTCTTCTAGTTTTCGAATTACGCGAAAGTTTGCTAAAATTTGTCAAACTTGTGCAAGCTGAAGCCTTTGCAGCCGAAATGTCTTGTATTAATTCAAAGGAGCAACTGCCAAAGGGCTCTATAATACGAGGTTTGGCTCCATTCATTGAAGAATCAACGGGATTGCTCCGAGTACGGGGCAGATTGCAACGATCAAGCTTGCCATACCGCCAGAAGCACCCAATCATCATGCCCAGTAAACAGCACTTCACCAATTTGTTGATCAACAATTCTCACCACAACAAATCTCCGCCAACACTTTTGGGTGGTTAAAGGTCGTCAAACCGCGAGAATTCGAAGGTGCATTACATGCTTTCGAGGCAAGCCGGAAACATCAAGCCAAATGATGGGTAATTTGCCTTTTCATCGAGTCAATCGACCAACGAGACCATTCGAAGCAACTGGAATCGATTACACCGGCGCATTTGAACTAAAGTCGTCGAAATTTAGAGGTATTTAACACTACATATAAGGGCTATATCGTTATATTTATTTGCTTAGCAACTAAATCCATCCACCTGGAGGTCGTTACGGGTATCTCAACAGAGCATTTTCTCATGGCCCTGCATAGGTTTATCGGTCGCCGTGGGTTATGCCGTGAGATATTCAGTGACAACGGCACAATTTTTTTGGGCGCCGACAATGTAATAAATAAACGAACTTTTGCTAAAGCAGTGGAAAAAGACGTAGTGCGCCAACTAGCTGAAAAGGGCATTCAATGCCATTTCAATCCGCCACACGCACCCAACTTTGGAGGAATATGGGAAGCAAACGTTAAGTCAACCAAGTATCACCTCAAACGCATTGTTCAAGGCGTTCGAATGACTATGAAGAGTTAGCAACGGTGTTGATTCGCATTGAATCGTGTTTAAACTCACGCCCGCTATGCCCACTCACAGCTGAGCCTGATGATTTGGAAGTACTGACGCCCGGCCACTTCTTGATCGGAGAAGCATTGTTAGCCCCGCCACCAGAGTAATCAACAACTAAGTTAACACTAAGCAAAAACTACCTCGCATTGCAGCAGATGATACAACACTTTTGGTCTAAATGGTCGTCCGATTGGCTCTCGGACTTTGCAAAATCGCCCAAAATGGCAGCAAGAACAACAAAACCTCGAAATAAATGATCTCGTTCTCATCAAAGATGATCGCTTATCTCCGAACGATTGGGCAAGAGGACGAATTATTGAAGTCCATCCAGGAGCAGATAAATTAATTCGCGTTGCAACATTGAAGACAAAGTATGGCACTCTAAAACGTCCGGTTAGCAAGCTGTGTGCTTTACCAATTAAGGAAAAGCCTGAGCACCGCGTAGAATAAAACGACTACGTTCTTCCACATACATACATTCATACACATTTATTTATTTCATACAACAACACACAAATAGCTACAGTTCACTGCAATCTACAACTCACGAAGGAAGTCAATACTGCCATGGGGCAGTATTGGGGGCAGCATGAATGGATTTAAAAGCACGTTTTAACGCAGATATATCGCTGATGATAAGCACCTCGTAAATTCCAGAACGGTGAAACAACCAACTCTGCAAAAGACTCCATAAAATTCAGAACTGTCGCAAACTTACAATTTTACCCTTATGTTTTTTATTTTTCTTGTTTTGGTCATTTTATTCTTTGTCATTGACAGCTGTTCGTCTTGTGTCAAGTGCCTTTCACTTGACGTTTTTTACTTGCGCAAGGTTGCCGCTCTTGCAGCTAGTGAGTGGAGAATTCGGAGTTAGTAGGAATGAGTCGGAGAGAGTAATGGGAGAAGGTCGTTTCAAGGTTTTTAGTGTGCACAGACTTTTGAATATATAATCTATTAAAACACATGTAATAATTATACAAAAAATTACCAGTAAATAAATACAACTAAATAAGCACGACAAAGAGCAATGTAATAAAATTTAACGTCACCAAAAGAACTACATATTCACAAATGTTTTTTAATGAAAAGAAACAAGTATAAACTCGACATCATCCTTTAATATCGTCCTTCTAACTTTATTAGCTTAAAAATAAATCATATCTTTGAAATAATAAAGTCCTTAAAAAAATCCCGACGTCAGAGATAAAAACGCAGTTTTACTATATTTGGCCCATAGTTTCGTGAGTACATTGATTCCTTTTTGTGTTTTTTTTGTTTGTGTTTTGAATTTTTCTTGTTTTTGTCTTACCGTGTTATAAAAACTTTGCTCGTCTACTGCCGCTTTAATTTCTTCTTCATTCGAAAATCTTCGTCCTCGGATAAAGAAAAGAAGCGTATTCTGTTAAATTTTGCTTTACAAAACTCTGGATGGAAAAATTGGAAAACCATATGGATAAAGAAAACATCCGATTTTTTCATACGGAATTTCCATATACAGAATTTCGCAATACAGAGTTTTTAAAATGCAGAACTTTGCTATACACGAGTATGCCCTTCCACTTTCCTCAATGGTTAACCCATCAGCAGATACATGTTTATCAGTGTCTACGACACCGATAGAAATTTTTTATTTCATTACCTTCAATACTTATTGACTTATACTGTTCGACCTGCTCCAGGTCAGATACGTCTACGGTTTTGAACTTGAAGTCTAAGGTAGATCGAACCGTTTAACTAAACTAGTCAATTTGCATGCGTTTTGCGTCACTGAATTCGAATCTGAGGTCGGAAATCAAAAATTTACCCGTTTGTTCCTTTACATGTATGTATTGCCATTCTCGGCACCATGAGCGCCAAAGGAGCATTTTCCATCTTAGAGAAGGAAGAAAATAGTTAAAAGTGGTCTAGCGGCAAACGAAAACAAGAGAAAGTACCGCCCTTCAAATTATATACATCGCAAGTCATTATTAGCAATTAAAACTTTGAAGTATGACTTTGGTGCAAAAACTGATAGGGCTTCGATAAAGGGAGATATAAACTGGCTTAAAGTGCCACATAAGGGAGAAACAGGAGTAGTTAGGCGCTTAAAAACTTTTAATGCTTACGACTGAGCCGCACTGTTGCTTCATTTAGCTCTTTTTAACAATTCGCAAATTTCTATGAAATTAATTTCAAATGATAGCTCTTAACATGAAATTCATTTCCATTCACTCCAAAACTGTCGGTCGGACTGACAATGATCGGTTTGCGTTTCACTTTCAGTAGGCGAATTTCAAGTCACGTTTTTTGCTACACTCATTTCTGTCACACACAGATTTGTATAAAAAAGTGATTTGCTGAAGTATTCCAGCGTCTTGAGAGATCTCGTTTACCCATAGGCTATTATTGTGCATCTGTAAACATTCAAATATTTGTATGTGCAAATATACAAATGTAACCACGTACGTAAATGGCTTTTAAAATGAATTGAATTCGTGTTAAATGCTTAGCGGACTGTTTTTATTACCATGCAGAAAATCTATTTGTTAACAGGTTCCGTTTTGGACAGTTTTTTATTCGATTTTTAGATATTTTTTCGTTTTTTCTTTCCTGTTACAAATTCCATTTTTGTACATATTTTATAAAAAAAAATTATTGTAAGCTGCACGCAACAATTTAAATTCATTAAATCTGAAAACTCACAACTGCCTCCACCGCGATTTGAACTTGCGAGTCGGAGGTTTTCTCGCTGACCTACTTTCGTTTCCGCAAGTTTCAACTGTCCCGCTCTGCATCCCTTTTGCACTAGTTCAGAGATAGTTCTGATCTATAAATTTTACTGCAGGGTACTTTTATATACATATACATATATGTCTATGTACTTAAGTATGCACATGTGTATGTATGTACTTTTATTTATTCGCGTGCTACATTCGAGAAACTTTTTACACTTCACACCTGCAGAAAATTTTAATTTTTAATTTTTCTAAATTTTTGGTTTATTCGCATTTATTTGTGAAATCAGTGCACAAATTTTCTAATAAACTTTCCCCTTCATTGTTTTATTCCAGCTCTAATTGAAACTGTAATCAAATTTTGGTATCGATATTTAAAAAGTATTTTTTATGGCTGTGTGATTAATTGATTATTCAAAATTTTAATTAATCATAAACTAAATAACTCAACTATTCGATTAATGGAAATTATGATTACTCAAAAGTTCAGTTACTCGAGTAATCAAGATTTTGATTAACCAAAGCCAAAAATAGTTGAATAATCAACATTATGAGTAAAATGAGAAATCAACATTTCAAAGTACTCTTTACATATAAAGCAGTTGAAGTTCCTTACCCAGCAAAACCAGCGTGGCCGAAACTCCAACACAAACGCAAATTTTACGCTGTTACTAACACACATGTAATAATTTTTGATTGGAGTGCCATCTATTGTTTTTTCTTGCGAGGTATCTTTCGCATATGAGTAAGTAGTCAAGCTAATCTTTTCACATATGAGCAAGCAGGCAAACTATTTGGTTTGAAAAATCACATGTACACAAAACATCTGGGAGCATTTTTGATTCACTATTAAGAATGTGATAGCAAAACGTGCGAACTTAATGGGCACGCGTGACGGTCACGTTACTAGGAAAGTGACCGTCACTGTTCTTGCTGGGTTGATACTTTGAAAACAACGTTTCTGTTGTCAAAAATTAAAATTAAATATATTTTTTTAAACACAGAATGTAAAAAAGAAAATAAGCATTTTCCAAAGCAAACTCTTTTAACGAGCAAAATTAATTTCGTAATCATATTTCAAGTAGCTCGATTAATCATCGTTTTGAGTAATCAAAATCTTGATTATTCGAGTAATTGATTAACCGAATAAC